GAAATCAAACACCATCTTCAGTGCACATCATGACCATGACAATGAAAATAAACACAAACACACATCCTTCACCCTCCACACATTGTACCGAAAACCCTCAACACTGCACCTATACTGCACTATGCAGCAGAATTCAAAAGAGCTACCACCCTGGGATAAAAGCTGTTTTACAGCCTAGTTGTCCTTATTTTTATTATTCTGTACCATCTGCCAGATGGTAATAGTTCAAGAAAAGGGGTGCCCAGGATGAGATGGATCCTTTTTTTATAGTTTATTAATTTTTACAATTAAAACCAATCACAATACATACACAAATAAGCAAAAGAAAAAGAAGAAAGAAGAGAGGAGAGAAAGAGAGGGAAAGAATTTTGAGAAAAGAAAGAAAAAGAAAGGGGGAAGAAAGAAAAAAAGAAAGAAAGAGGTTACAAAGTAAAAAGTATTCTTATTTTAACAGTTTGCAAGATCTTCTTTCGTTTTCATAACCTTAACGTGTCATATAACCACACCTGTTTTTAACTTATATCGCTACCTTGTTATTATAGGTTGATACTTTTCCTTCATGCCTTATGATATATAATTTATCTTTGATCAATCCAATTATACCAACAATTCCAGCTATCGTAGTATAGTGAAGTGTCTTTGTTTTTTAGCGCCAAAGTCAATTTATCCATTTCTGCACATTTTGAGATCTTTTCAATAATCATTTCTTCTGATGGAATTTGATGTTTTTTCCACTGTTGAGAGAAGGCAATGAGATGGATCTTTGAGAATGTTTTGAACTTTCTTGAGGCAGCGGGAGCTATGAAGCTCTTCCAAAGAGGGAAGAGGGCAACCCATGATCCTCTGGGCAATGACGTTCACCCTCTGGAGTGCTGTCCTATCTTCCACTATGCAATTGGAAAACCATACAGAGGTGTAGTATGTTAAAATGCTGTCTATGGTGCAGCGGTAGAAGGTCACCAGCAATTTTTCATTCAGTTGTTGTTTTCTGAGAAGTCTCAGGTAGTATAATCTCTGCTGGGCCCTTTTGACCAGGGCTGCAATGTGTGCACCCCAGGTCAGGTATAACTGAGAATTATCAGTATATTATGAGAATGTATAAAATCATCCATAATAACCTTTTCACATTTCAGTCCAATTTGTAACAAGGTTTGCCAACTATAGATGCTCCTTGCCCCACAGGAGTCAGTCAAGGAAAAGATCCAAAACATACACAGAATCATACACACCCTACACTGAAAGAAGGAGCGGCTAGCCGCAGCATCCATGTGCGCAGCCATCTTGAAAACCGCTATATATAAATAACAATAATATAAATATTGCTAAGTGAGAAATTTGTTAAGTGAGTTTTGCCCCATTGTACGACTTTTCCTGCTCCATTTGTTAAGTGAGTCACCGCAGTTGTAAAATTAATAACACTTCCATTACCCAACTAGGGAACATCATCAGTGCTAGAATCGAGAGGAGGAGGAGGTGGAGCTGTACAATATAGAACTAGGGGGTCTGTTTGACAACTTAAATCACTTTCCCCTATCAATTGTGTTCAGTTCTTGAAAAAAGCTCACGCAAATCCCTTGGCCAAGGTTTTTCAGAAAAGGTTTGCCATTGTCTCTTTCCTAGGGCTGAAAGAAAGTGACTGGCCCAAAGTCACCCAGCTGGCTGGGTGCCTAAGGCAGAAGTAAAACTTTCAGCCTCCCTGTTTCTGAACTGAGTTCCCTCCCTCTTACAGCAAACTGGTTTTCTTAAGTCACCTTTAGTATGCTATTAATAAGATCTAGGCAGTTTGCAAAACTGGAAAAGAACAGATTCAAGATAGTTCTCATCTGATGTGAGCTCAGATTAGGCCAACCTGGGAAAATGTCTTCGGCCTCCAGCAATGCAGTTCCAATTCTTACATGTTACCTGCATAAACAAGGGTGAAAGATAAAGATCCGCCTTAAAAAAAGCAAAACAGCAGAGAATGTGATCTCCTCTATCCATATGTCTGGATTAGGAGAACAGCAGGGGCGAGTTTACCTTGGGATAATTTAGGAACCCTGGTTAATAGTTCATCCATTCCATCCTGGGGGGGTGGAGGGAATGAGAAGAATTCTGATAAGCTGCTTGTCAACTATTTGCTTGGCTTGTGCATTTCATTTTAGAAATTTGCAAAGAACCAAGGATCTTAGGGATCCGAACTATAAGAATAAGAATCTATCTGTATAAAAGCAAAATACCCCTCACGCATCATCACAAAATCTCCAGAACTGTAAAGTCCACAAACTTAAAATTTGGTACATATGTTCCTCTTGGCTTCTAGGTGCTCACTAAGAAAAGATTTTTAAAAATGACCATCGGAGCATTAGTATTTCCTATGAAAAGAAGGACCAGGGGAGGCAGGATAACAGTCTTCCAATATTTGAGGGGCTGCCAGAAAGAGGAGGGTGTGTGTGTGTGTGTCAAGCTATTTTCCAAAGCACTCAAAGGCCAGACAAGGAACAATGGATGGAAACTGATCAAGGAGAGATTCAACCTGGAAATAAGAAGAAACTTTCTGACAGTGAGAACCATCAATGCATGGAACAGAAGTTGCCTTCGGAAGTTGTGGGAGCTTCATCCCTGGAAGATTTCCAGAAGAGACTGTCTGTCAGAGATGGTGTGGGGTCTCCTGCTTGGGCAGGGGGTTGGACTAGATGACTTACGCGGTCCCTTCCAATTCTGTATACTCTGTAAGCTTGTCTGTTGCCTTTGCAATTCAAACGGGGTTGAATTGCCTCACCAACATTGTTTAAATTCCATCTATGCAAAGATATTAATCAGGTCTTGACCAATGCCCCCCCTTGGCAAGGGCTAGGTGTAGCCAGAACCACGTCAGAAGTACAGCTGGTGCTCGACTTATGCCAATTCATTTAGTGACTGTGCAAAATGCAAAAAGGATTACCCTGTATATATATATATATATATATAGCACTACAACTTGGGAAATTGCCAACTGTGTCTATCAGCATTGCCCCAGGATTGAATTTCAGCATTTACTCCTGTGTAAGGCAGTTTGGACAGCGCCATCCAACCACCTGGCTTCATTTTTTAATTTTTTCCCCACTCAGGAAACCATTTCTGCTTAGTTGACAGGTACAAAATCAGTGCCCTCTTAAAGTTAGGAAGCACGAGTTTAAAGAGATTTCCATAAAATTAGAAACATATTCAAATGGTCTAAAACTAATTAGCTTTAAAGAAACAGACTTTTCTCACAGTACTTTGTGTAGCAGGGAAACAAAACAGAACTTTTCCTTTTTTGTGTTAGGCTTATAACCAATACATGTTTTTGTCTCTCTCGTAGTCCACCCAAAAAAAAAAAAACCCCAACAGACAATTTCTTCTCTTATTCTAATTTCCTCCTTCAAAGCATCCATTGTGTTGATTTCCCCAGACTTCGGCTCATGTCCAAACGAACACACAACTTTGTGATCTCTCTCTCTCTCACACACACACACCTGCAGCCGGTAACACGGAGCTAAGGAACACTACCCTGGAAAGAAATTAAGTTAAATCTTCCTTGCAAGAGAAGGACAATGTTTTTGGCTCCTCCTAACAAACATACATGCTCACTTGGTTTTGAAATACACAGGTGCAAACTGCAGAAAGAAACGTCAAAGCTCAAAACTTTTCAGAGTTAAGATCAGCTGGATGCCCTCAATAAGCCAAGGGAGAGGATTAATTCTTAGAATTCTGTTCAGCTTCTCGGATTAATATTTTCATTTTAAAGTGGAAAATTACAGAAGCAAATTGTTTAGCCAAGAAGAGAAAGATGGATCCCAGTGGAAAGGAGCACGAAGTCACATTTCTACTCGCAACCTGTCCAAATAATTAAGCATCAGACTGCCTCCTCCTAGGAGTATAGCAATAGCAATTTTATACAAAGTTGCGACTAACCCAAATCACTTTCAAGTTCAAAAACGGTCTCTGCACAAATCAACCGGTGAAAGCTTCCTGCTAAAAATAAACCAATCAATCCAAACTTGCCCAAAGAATCTTATAGGGAAACCAAAGATGAATTTTCTCTCTTTTTGCTTTAAAAGGGGACAGCTATTCAAATCACATTCCAGAGGAATAAATAAATAAATATAGAAGATGGAACAACTAACTCTCTGTTCCTGTTTGGCAGGAAAAATAAGTCCCCTGGTCAATAATAGTCCCAGACTGTGAATTGAATTGAAGATTAAATCAATAATAATAATAATAATAATAATAATAATAATAATAATAATAATAATAATAATAATAATAATAATATCATCTTGTGGGACTTCAGAATTCAGACTAACAGGCACTTGGCCCACAACACACCTGACAGAACAATAGTTGAGAAGAAAAAGGGTTGGTTCACTGACATTGCAATACCTGGTGATGCATGAATTGAAGACGCACAGCAAGAAAAAAAATCACAAAGTATCGGGACTTACAAATATTGAAGTTGAGCGACTTTGGAAAATGAAATTGTGTGTGATCCCCATTGTAATTGGAGCCCTTGGAGCAATAACCTAAAGGGCTACTTCGCTATTTGGAAATTCTGAATTTATCAGACTTGAATACCCTGATTCTACTAAAAAACACCCTGCTTGGAACATCTTAAATCCTTTGGCACTAACTGTTCCTACCTGAACAGTTCCTAGGTCCTTGGTTAGGACTTGAGCAAACCCAAAGGCTGTGAATCTCACTAAAGATTAACCAATAATAATCTTGGTTGATACCTAGGATGCCAGCAGCAAAACCCGTATCAACCATCAGTGCCAGTCAATGATATTTGTGATACATTTTTAAATGTTGAATTGACTGAATTTCATGTTTAATGAATAAAAATAATAATATCTGTAACACCATCAAACATCCAGCTTTGCCTATCCCATAGGATAGGCAAAAAGCCAAACCTAGACTGAAGGAGGAGGGGGAGAGGAAGAGGAAAGGGAAGAAGAAGAAGAGGAAGAAGAGGAGGAAGAGGAGGAAGAGGGAGAAGAGAGAGAAGAAAGCACTTTGGGAACGACCACCCCGACCTGGATGATGGAGAAACTCCGTAGAACGCAACTTTCCAAAAAGTTTTACCTTGCTCCGCGGTGTCTTGAAATCAGGAATGAAGGAAGGCAGCAAAGGTAAGACACCGCCCCCCACTACACCCCCCCGAAAAGGGACGCCCAGGGGAAAGGGTTAAGATCCCTGAGCCACCTCCGCGCAGCGCCACTCGAGGGCAACCTCACCTGGGAGTTTCCGCGCAGTGGAGAAAGCGCAATTACGCGCGAGCCAGCCCGGACCCCAACTCTCCCTTTTCCAAGATCCGAGACCTACATCGTCCGTCCCCCCTCCGCCCAAAAAGAAAATTCTTACCCGGGCTTAAAGCGGGACAGCGACAGGCAACGCTGCCGGCTTGCAGGAGGTCTCTAAAGGGAGAAAAGGTGGCAGAGGTGGGGGCAAGGACCGCTTCTCTTCCTCCTCCTCCTCTTCCTCCCTCTTTCTCCAGCCAGGTTTGACTCCCGGGCTCTCAAACTCACCTAACCAGATTTTTTGCACTGACTTCACACAACGGCCCTCCCATAAATCTGAGCTGCTGAAATTTCAACCTCCCACCCACCCCCCTTTCCCCTCCCCTCCCTCGGGAGCCTTTTGTTCTCCCGGCAAGGTCGCTCACCTTGGCCCCTTTTTCTCCTGCAGGGGGAGAAAAAAACGAAGTTGGAGAAGAGAGGAGGAGAAACTTTAGAAACCCCCTTCCCACCCCCCTGAAACTGCCTCACCGCTCCACACCTCTCATTCTCTCCTGTCCAGACCAACATATCACTTTATAGATTAGATTAACAGAGTTGGAAGGGACCTTGTAGGTCATCTAGTCCAACCCCTCCCAAGCAGAAGACCCTACACCATTTCATATCCATTTGGGTCTGACTTTTTATTTTGTTATTTGTTTGTTCCAAAATCCACTGCTTTGCTGACTTTTATCTGCTTCGGTGCTTCAGGGCAGGAAGATAAAAAACTGTAGAAAGCCAAGGGTGGGACCGAAATAACGGAGTCGGAAGGGACCTTGCAGGTCATCTAGTCCAACCCCCACCCACCCACCCAAAGCAGGAGACCCTACACTGGTGGTGACAAACCTATGGTACACGTGCTGCAGGTGGCACGCAGAGCCATTTGTGCGGGCACACGAGCCCCAGCCAAAGTTACCTGCACTGCGCATGCGTGCGCCTCCCAGCTGGTTTGAGGCCCATTGGAGGCCTTTTTCGCCCTCCCAGAGGCTCGAGGGAAGCCTCTGCAGCCTTTGGAGGCCAAAAAACGGACCCATTTTTTAGCCTCCAAAGGCTGCAGAGGCTTCCCTCGAGCCTCTGGGAGGCCGAAAAAGACCTGAAATGGGCTGAAAATCAGCTGGGAGGTGCATGCATGCACAGTGCAGGTGAAGGGATCGTGGGGGGAGGGGTTGCGTGTGCATGCGCGGGGGGCGGAGCACACTGCATTGTGGGTGCTGGCGCACGCACGCACTTTCGGCACACCATAACAAAAAGGTTCGCCTTCCCTGCCTTACACCATTTCTGCTCGAGGGCAGTCCAGTCTTTTCTGGAAAGTCTCCAGGGATGAAGCTCCCACCCCTGCGGAAAGCAGCACGGGTGGATTGTTCTCATTACAATCCACGATTAGCTTAATTCTGAAAAGTCTTGGAATATAAGCCGGGCTGTCGTTTTGTTGTCAAGAAGATCACAACAAATCAACAGCCGCCAGCTTAATTCTTGATCTCGGCTAGTTCTCTACCACATTTGCCCTTAGCCATAAAAATCCATCTTGTGCAAAGTGTTAATTTCTACTCTGCAAAGGGCTCTTATTTGCATTTATGATTCTCCTTTGACAGGTTTCCGGGGCAGGGCGCACTCAAGGTTCAGGAATGAAATGAATCCCCAAGACAGCTAATCCTTAACTTCGCGACCACAATATCAGCCAGTGGCCACGATTGTAAGCAGGGGTGGGCTTCCAAAATGGTAGCAAAGACTTCTCTGCCTGGTTGCTGGGCGGGTGTGGCCATGGTGGGCGTGGCCTACTCAGCCTCCTGCACCATGGGGGCGGGGTGTTTTTGCCCTCCCTGGACTCCGGAGGCTTTTGTCGAGTCTCCGGGAGGGCGAAAACAGCTCTCTGGAAGCTGGAAACAGGCCTATTTCCGGCCGTCCCGAACTTCCAAGAGGCCCGTTTTCACCCTCCTTGAGCCGCCATGCACATCCTGCACTTACCTGCATCCTGGGGACTCCTGGGAGGGACAGGGTGGGGTGGGCGGAGCCAGCCAGGAGTGGGATTTGGTGGGTTCTCCAAACTGTACAGAATCTTAGCTTAGGGGCTCTCCTGAAACCCTGTAAACCCCCAGCAGCTCAGCCCTGGTCGTAAGTGTGGAAAACGGTCATACGTCACTTTTTTTCTGGTGCTGTTGTACCTTCAAAGCAGTGGTGGGATTCAATTTTTTTTACTGCTGCTTCTGTGGGCGTGGCATGGCTTGGTGGGCATGGCATGGTGGGCGTGGCAGGGGAAGGATACTGCAGAATCCCCCTTCCTTCCCCACCCCACTAACCTGCTTTCCAGCTCTGTTCTCCTGTGCAGGGCAACCAAAGGAGACTCAGTCAATCAGCTGGGACTCAATCGGAGGCAGAGAAGAGATGGAGTTGGCGGGGCCAGTCAGAGGCAGGGATTTGCCGGTTCTTCAAAGTACTCAAAATTTCCGCTACTGGTTCTCCAGAACTGGTCCGAACCGGCTGAACACCCATCGCTGCTTCGAATGGTCCCTAAACGAACTGTTTTGTAAGTCGAAGACTAGCTGTTCTGGCCTTTATGACTCTCCGTTGGCAGGTTTTCAGGCAGGGCATGCTCAGAATTTTTTTTTTTTTTTTAATGAAATTAATTCCAAAACAATGCAAAATGGGGCACTCAGGGCAGACTGGGTAGGGCAATTTCAATAAAATTCAGCATTAAAGAGACACATTCTGAAAGCGGCTGACCTTGCCTCTCATTTAGCTACCTTTCTACAGTTATTTTTAAGGAGGTTCCCTAGAAGGAGAACTGGGGGATATCAAGGCTGCCTGCAGTTTTCAAGATAAAAGTTAGAAACAATACAGCTGAACCGGTGGAGGGGGGAAAAAATTGGACAACTCAACCACACACAATCTCGTCTTCTTCCCAAGAGCGACGAATTCAAATTTCAAACAGATTATAGTTCTCTGAATTCCTTTCCAAAGCCTTGTGCATGTTTAAATTTTGCAAAGCAATCCATCTTTAAAAAAGACAAAACAAAAAAACTCTGCAATCAATCCCAAACTTATTAACAACCGAGTGGTAATCCAATAGTACTCATGAGCCAGTCACAAGCCTACATTTGGTAGAGGGAGCAGGCAATCTCCAACTTCTACCATTGTAAACAACACCAAGAGAAATGATGGCTAAAAGAACTCACCTAGATCGTAGCACGGCTTCCAGATTGGGAGGAAAAATAGGTGCAGTCTGGACTGAAAAGTTGATTCCTCACTTCTTTCTATGATCGTTTTACAAAAAGCCTTTTTCCACATCCCACAGGCATACTTCTGGTTTCTTTGGTGGGGTGGTGGGGTGGGGTTGGAACCAAAAATAAAAGGAAGCAAAATTGAAAAAAATAAAATAAAATTGAAGAAAAGAAAAGAAAAGAAAAGAAAAGAAGAAGCTATTTTCAATCTACCTCATCGCCACGCAGAATCCCTACCCAAAACAAGCTGAGAAACTCTTGCATTCAGTTTAGCCATTCTGCATTACCTACCCAGCCCCTGTTTTGAGACTAATGTGATCAACCCAAGCTTTTCAGCCCTTGTGACTCAAACATACCACAGACCTTTAAAGAGGAAGCCTCCAGCTTCCAATGTTTTTTTTTTATTTATTTTTATTTTTCTCGTTTTTGGTTTTGAAAGTTGCGAGTCCTGCTTGTGTTGTTATGCAATGGGGAAAAATGTGACAGTTTTGTGTGTGTGTGTGTGTGTTTGAATGGCTGGCTTGATTTACCAAAATTTAAATGATTTGCTTCAATTGCATCTGGCATTTTGTAAAGAGCACTCCAAGCTTTGTGGATGAATAGAGTGATAATGTATCCATATTTTTAACCCCAATGTTTCTTTTGACTGATGGACTCTACCTGATCAATTAATTTTGCTTTTCAAATTTGGAAAGTTCATAAAATAGGATGTGCAGAAAAGCTTACAGTTCATGTTTCCTACTCTCTCTCTCTCTCTCTCTCTCTCTC